CAGAGTGGAGAGTTAACATGGATGGTGGTGCAATGCCTTCCCTACAGTCCTTTGGTTATCAAACCATTTGATAACTGGGTTATGAAGCCCAGTGCCAGATGTGGGTTAACTCCCTTTGTGATAGTCATCAGTGGGGTGACATAAACCACAAAAACAACAGATGCTGTTGCTATTGGTTCTAGGAAGCTTTTTCTGAAGACACCATATACATGAGTCATAGGACATGGACAAATCAAGTGAACTGGCCTGGAAGTTCTATCACTGCTGTCTCTGCTGGGTGAGAAAGTACTGAACAGTCTTACCCAAATATAAACCATTCTAACTGCAATAATGATCACCCTAGCAATATTTGCCCATTGTTACATCAATGGCATGAAAGTTACAGTATAACTGGCCACTTTTCTCACTGCATTTACGGCTCCTCCCACATGGCACAACTAATGCATGATGTTATTAACTGGGCTGAGAACCTATAACCAGCTAGCTTGTAAATAATAGGAGAGAACCTAATACTATGTTAATGCTAACTGGATATAGACTTAACTGTCCCCTAAATACATATGTTCATACACCTAAATGAGTGAAACTCTCACCCCTCATCGCTGAAGCTACTCTTTACAGTAGGCGGTAATGAATTCAGAGACTCTCAAGTTACCAACGTGAAGAGAATTCTTATTCTGTGGATTGCTCAGTTATAATTGGGACATGTATATCACACTTGCTTCCCCCCATAATTAGACATCATCATGGGAGAGTGACGAAAATATATTTTAAGAGCAAGAATCAGCACCGGACTCATGAGAAAGTCTTTTCCAGTCATAACATGGTGGTTGAATACATGGGTACAAAGCTGCTGGTCCTGCACGCACAAGATGTGCAGCAGATTGAGCCAGCCCAGATCCCAGCATGGGGCTCCTAGAGGATGACAAAATACTACCCCAGCTATGGTCAGTGTTTGTTGCTGGGGAGGGAGTGACGGTTTTCTTCAGGAATGTGGCCCTCATGGGCCGCCGTGTTCAAGTGTGCGGCTTTGTATTCTTGCACTTAAGTGGGCTATAGAGGAATGCAGGGTGTTAGGAGGAAAACCAGTGAGGGTGAGTGGGAGCAGCCAGAGCGGAGGGGGTGGAAAGTGGGTTTTATTAAAACACACGCATTTGTGGAATAAGTAACATGATTAGAAAACAGAGAGCTGTGTATATGTGCTCTCACTATTTTTTATCGTAAAGTGAATAAATCTCTATTTAGGGATATTTCACGTGGTTTCCTTCACTGTCTGCCAAGGCTGCAGAAGTTCAAGGCTGTCCAGATAATCCTTTTTCAATGAGATGGGTTATTTCCTGACCCAGCTGTGCTCTCAGCCTTGCCACAGTTTTCACTGTTCTAGGTACCAGTCCGTTGGGACATTCTGCTCTACTTCCGACGATAGTAAGAAAGGTTCCTGCACCTCCGTTCTGTCTCCTTACTGTCTCCTGGTCACCCTGACCCTTTGTTGAGCACCTCCACCGAGACCCGCCTTAGCAGTGCAGAAGAAAACAACCTTGCACACGGAATTTCTTTAGCAGTCTCATGTCTTGGCGCCTTTTTCCATTCATGCATGGCACTTCATGTAAATGTTCACCTGCTGCATTACTGTTTTATAGATTATTTGAATTTTCTGCATGTGTAGGGATGGTATGTATTATCACGTCATAATAAAAGATTGCAAAGGGTGGGCCCAATACAACTCCTGAATCAGTACTAGTGGATGTTGGTATCTGAAAGGCTAAAAACTAAATAAAGAAACAAAGCAAAGTCCAATTAGAAATAAGAAAGGCTCCATTGTTTATGTGGATTATTTCCTCCAAATACCAAAGGTGAGAAGAGCCAGGTGAGCAGGAGTCATCATCATATTTCACTCTCTTTATAATACACTTCCATTTGCAAGGATACATTCATCTTCCTTATCTGAAGGCCAGTCAAATGGTCACTTGATGGATAATTTTAGAAGAGCCCACAGTCTTCAACAGTCAGGGCTGGTAAGAGCAGGCGCATTCTCCTCTGACACCCCAGTTTCTTCTTCACAATGCTCTCTGGTCCTTGTCACATCTAGACTGCCCTGTGGCCACAACCTCCGCCTTTTTGAGACATGTCCACATTAAAAATTTCCACCCCAAGACTCTCCTTTCCTCCAAACAAAAAAAGTTCAGTTTACAGTTTATACACTCAGGCAAGGCCCTCACATACAGGTGTACACTTGAACCCAGCAGCAAATCTAGTCCCAGCATATTCTCTCTCACTAAAAATGTGCCCCATATAGCATGTGGGGCAGGATAGTCACGCAACTTAGGAACTGTTAAATCATTTTCATCACCATGCTGTGGACGCAAATCCATCTACAACTTCTCAGTGCTGCAAATTCATTTGGGGGTTATCCTGGATCATTGTTCTGACCTTGATCAAAGCACAAGCATTCTGCACCTCAGCAGAAGACCACCACTTCCATGTCTTTCTCTGATCAACCTCACTTTTGACCAGACCTTACAACATAGCCCAAAGCATGGTATTAACGTTCTTCAAGAAAATTTGCGTTAAAGTCAGCAGAATTGTCAGCATATTTGCCTGTGACTGACCCCTCTGCTACGTTATCTTTTGTCATCCCATCATGTTTGCTTTACCACATCACAAACCTAATTTACCGAGTCTCTATGACTTAGATCCAGCAAAATGCCTCCTTCTGTAAATGCGAGTCTGTGCTGACTCTGGCTGGAGAGATGATAGTCTATAGAGAAGTAGTGAAGTCTTACCCTTCACCTGTCCGTCTAACAGTCTGCCACTCAAAATGAAACCATTTTCTACTTCTTCCTCCAAAAGCCAAAAACCACATCATAGCACCCCATTCTCTGAGTCCTTCAATGAGTTTCCATGGTCTTTCAAAGTCCCATCCGTGTTCATAAGTCCAATATCTCTTCTGAGACTTAAGACAATCTCATAACTGTGAGATCTTATAAAAATCAAACCAAATAAAAAGTTCCAATACACATTTCTGTTACAAAAATAGAAGAATAAGTCCTGCCAAGGATGATCCCAGCAAAGTGAGCCTGCATCCAGAAAGACTACCAGCATTCCTGCAACTTAATTCCAGATGAATCAAGAGCTCAAGACGGAATCACACTAGTGCCAAAGTTCTCACTTAGCACAAGCCTCCAGCTCTGCTGCAAGCACACATGGCCTCTCGAATTGACTTGCTCTGCTCCATGCTTTTCCTAGTGGACACCACCATGGTCTTCACATCTCCAGTGTTCTGGGGTCTCCATTGCAATTAAGACGTCACCTTCACTGCTTTGCACAGTACTTCCCTCAGGGACAGCAAGCATGCCACATACTGCCTGGCCTCAGGGTCTCTGGAACCTTGAGACAAAGATCAAGGAGCCTCTGATCCTTGTGTGTGACATTCCTACAGGGCCAATGACACATAAACAGTATTGTCAACTTCTGTGGCAAGCTTGAGACATAGCACTCTCCTCCCATCTTGTATCAGTCACTCGGGTGATCTGTGACCTGACCTGTTGAGAGTCAATATCGAATATCACAGCTGCATAAGGCAGTGCCTGGAATGCACCTTATAGTGCACAGCATTGCTCATTGGAGAAAAGAAGTAAAAGGGCCAGTAATATCCTTTCATTACTTATTACAATGTATTAACATGGGTTTTTAAATTTACGTGTTTGTTTTAATGATTCCAGTAAATGATGAAGTAACTCCAGCTTGTATTTGTTTGAAGCAGGCAAAGCTGTGTCTTGAAAGATTCCGACAACCACCTATAAGGGATCCCATTGAATAAAAATAACATCTCATGTTAAACAGATTTTACAACCTTCTAGAATAAAAGTAAAAACGACATTTAAGAATTTGAAATCAGGTACCAGACATGGTTGCGATAAAGCAATGTAAAATCATGAAGTTACCGAAAAATCCCACGGCCAGGTTAGCTAGCTACTGATAGGTTAACTGTTCAATAGCAAAGCTCCAGTGGCCGCTCAAGGATTGCAAACTATGGCTGTTGTTCTAGACGCCAACAATACTAAATGTCAGAGACTATGGAACAAGACGCCACATGTTTTGGTTGCCTGGTGAGGCGCTCTCTAACTACAAGAGAGGAAAAAGATCACCTGGTACTTCCCTTCATAGTGTAGATGTCACTAGGCTGGTTACTGCTGTGGAGTGTCACTAACGGACCTGATCACACCAAGTCAAGGCAATTAAAAGACCAAGCCAGATGCATTTCACTCATCCAATAGTGGCACAACTGTTGTAGGTGTGGCCAAACATGCTGCAATCAGAATTAAGCCCAGTTCCATAGACAGAAATGTTGTTAGTGAGAGCCTGGTTGAAAATCTGTGGCTGAGCTTGCCATAGGCCCCAAAAGAAAGGACTTTCATTTTGCTTGATTGAGTGAATGTGATTTGATTGTGAAAAAGCCCCTTAAAACACGTGCATTTGCACACTACATTACTATCCTTATGTGCCTGGTCTGTTGGGGCAAACACTGTGTATTGGTCCATGAATATTGGCAAAGACTCACGTATGTAAAATGGTTTCTTGTCCTTGTGTTCCAATGCTCAGAAAACCATGACATCAGTATATTCACCCATTCAAGGTTCAGTGGACATTTCAGAGGTGGAGACTGAAATGTAGACATACCCAGGGAAAAGAATGAAGGCGTTGGACACTGCTATTTCCCTAGGGCATGAATTGTGATCAGTCTTCATGGAGCAGGGATGGCCATGGCGATTTACCACATAACTTGGACACTAGTCATGTCTCTGAAATAAGCTAAATAATGTATACATATATACACAAGACCTCATGGTAATTAGGCTGTCTATAACCCCTGAGAGGGAAGAGCCCTGGGATCCTAAACTTGGATATTACATCCTTCTGCCCACCCCCTCCAGCTACATGTGACCTTGGGGATGGTGTATTGCACTATATATAAGGTAGAAAGTTAACTGAAGGCAGGACTATAGCAAACGCTTTCCTGCCAGTAATCAGACTGTGCTGAGACTCCTCAGAGATGCAGCCCTCCTTGATGCAAACATGCTCAGGTAAGCAACTCTTTTCCCAAGTTCCTCTAGCCGAACTTAAATTTGCATTATTTTATTTTTAAATATTTAATTAATTTTTAAAATTCTATATGTATGAATGTATTGCCTGCAGTTATATAAATGCACCTGTGTCATGCTACGCCCTGCAGAGGTCAGAAAAAGGCATTGGATCCTCTGGAACTGGAGTTACAGACAGTTGTTAGCCACCATGTGGGTGCTGAGAACCAGTCCCAGGTCCTCTGCAAGAGCAGCCAGTGCTCTTAGCCTCTAGGCATCTCTCCAGCCCCAAATTTGTATTTTTTATGAGCCTTATTTAGGCAGTTTACTGTATCGATGTCATCTTTGCACTGTTTCAAGTAAATGGGCATTTGTTCATGCCTAACCCAGAGAAGCAAAGCGAGAAAGACCTAAGAGGTACTTTCTACTAGAAAACAAGTACAAAACATGCACGTGAATCACCGGTTCTCAAACACTGAGTCTTCTTACCCTGGAGACATGTAGCAGTGTGCAAACGTATTTTCCATCGTCTTAATTGACCTAGTAGAAAGAAGATTGTTAATGGGGTCATGGTAGAAAGCAGAGATGTGTCTACACAACTTTGAATGCTTTAAGTGATGTGTCTGCACAGTTTTGGAGAGCTCCAGAGCATGGAATGATCCATCACATAAAGTTAAGTATATAAAACAGATGTTTGACTAGAATGAGAATGTGAGAATCCATGAGTGACTCAGGAATAAACGCAGAGGATAGACTTAGCATTTGCTGGTTCCTGGATCTTCTCTCTGAGTTTCTTGACCTGAATCAACATGATCATATTCTACAGTAGACAAATTTAGGCCATGTGGATCCATAGAGCTTTGACAATTTGTTCAAACAAAATAACCTTTAAAAAGATACCATATAATAATTACTTTATTGTCTTGACAATATTTAGAAGGAAAATGAACTTTTGACAGTAATAAATTTCATTTTATGAAGTGAAACACCAAAATCATTAGTCTCTTGCAGCCTCTTAGACTGTGAATAGCCTTCAGATGATAAAAGGCAGAATATATATAGAAATATATACATTATGTAAACATCTTTTATGCAGGGAATGAATTTGAAAAAGGATCAAGGTTTTTGAAATTTTGCACTCTGCAACTGAAATCATGTGAAAACTATTTTATTTTGTATGTAAAAGGTATAGTTATCTTGTAGAGTACTCCAGTTTTATATTCTTTATAATTTTGATTATTTCTTAGAAAAAAATTTAGTGATTCATTTTTGTTATGGTCACAAATTTCTAAATGCATTTATCGAAAGTTCTTAGGAACAGAGAAATTTTAAGACTAGTGTCACCAAAATAATGGAGTCTTCATTTTCCTGCACCTGTGCCTCACCATCTTGTGAGTATAAAGTTCTGATTTCTACAGTCTGGCTTTGTCCATCTCTGAAAAGTAAATCGATGAGGAAATCAGCAGGGTTTGTTGTCAAAAATTAGAAAGTGTGTGTTAAATAAAGCAGGGAAAATAGATAAAATCAAGTTCCTAGAGCCTGTGTTCCCAAATTATCATGGACAAAAAGGTGAGTCATTACAGGTAATCACCAACAGCCTGTGGCAACACTGTGTCAGGTGAGGCGCAAGTTCCCCGTGGTGGCATGTGACGTCTTCAAACTGCTAATAACGAGACTGTGAAACTCAAACAAGCTCTGTGGGCTGCCTATTGCATCATCATAGCTTGGTGATCGTTAGGAAGGCTAAGCCTACTTAGGGTTATTGTATATCTGAATATTTTGTCAAAGGTGGAAGAACATGGCGTTACAGTGCTGTGCTATTTCATGCTGTGGTGTCATCATATGAGCCCCGTTCTCTTTGTCCTCGGTGCCAGCTAACGGCCACCACGTAATTATTCTCATGAGGAATAAAGCTATAACAAATGGATGCCCCGTGCTGTCCTTGTCATAGCGGTGTCTAAAATGTTAGTATCAGACATCGGGCTGTAGGTACTAATTCTTGAGTGTCTTGCTACTGAAAATCAGCAGAATCCTTGAAGACATTAATCTATCTGAAGAGAATAACCCAAACACCTGCCTCAACCAAGTACTTAGAGAAACATTGCTGGGAGTAATACAAAAAAAATGCAGAAAGTCACTCACGTTTCAATATATTAATCTTTGAAACATAATTAACTTCACAGTGGAATATGCTGCATTACACATAAAAATTTTAGAATACCAATTTCTGGACAGGTAAGGCTTCCACTGGCAGGTGACTCCAGCTAACCTCAGGGGAAGACATATCAGGGTGGCTCTTCTTTCTTAACAGGGAAACTGCTCCTGCTTCTGGTATCCAACCTGCTCCTGTGTGGGAATGCGAATGTGACCTCTGCACCCACACGTGACAAAGGGAATAGACAATGCAACGTGTCCTTGCAGGAACTGTTTAAGGAAGCGATCACTGTATCTGCAAAGATCAGTAAAAGAGCTTCAGTACTGTTCGCCCAGTTTGTAAGTATCCCACTGACTTCTGGCTTCCCTCCACAATGGACCTCCATATATCGGGGATATAAATATAAATCTATACCTTACATCAGAAAGAATCAGGATCCAAATGTCAAATAATGTTCCCTCCCAGGGGAAGGAAAGCATCAGCTAACAATGTGTGGAACAAGAACATATGAAATGCCAAGATTAGCTGAGATGGAGTGATTTTAAGTTGTTTCTCCACATTCAGCTGTTGCTTAAACTCGCTCTTGTGACGTGAGTGCGAAAGGCGAGGCTGAGGCAGAGACTTGATTTTGTATTACTTTATTTACTGGCCAGTCTCTCTCTGAATTCTTCACTTTGGACACTGTAGATACCCAGTTAAGGACACCAGCATTGCATTGTGAGGACTGAGTAGTGTCAGATAGTGACAGGTCAGGAGGAGAAGGAAGGTAAATTTCCTGAGAAGGAGAAAGTTTCACAAGGCTCCAGGACTAGATAAAGAGCTGGAGCCAGTGGATGGCAGCTGAGGAATGGAGTGTCAGTTTTCTCCAGGAAGGAGCTAATAGATTATCCAATCCCAAGGGGCCAGCCCTTAACACGTGTGCATATGAGCAGCACTAAGTAAGCGAAGTATTGTGTGTGTGTGTGTGTGTGTGTGTGTGTGTGTGTGTAATAATTATGGAAGAAGAGGTCACGAGTTTAGAATGATTGGGGACACATGAGATGTTGGAATTCGGAGAGGAAGGGATGGAAATGACATAAACACAGAACTCATGAATGAAAATTTCAAAGAATAAAAATTTAAATTAAAAATATATCCCAAATGCTATGAATCATTTTCTAAGCAATTCCAAGATTCATAGTGTAATGATAAGAAGGGCTTGTGTACACTGGAAAACACCTTCCCGTCTTTAAGATAAAGACAAATTAGCATCGGTATGTTACCTCTTCTAGACCATCTGATGAAGCCACAAGGGATGAGGCCTTCTGTGCATCAATGTTCTTGTGAAAATTTGGCTGTGTTTATAACATATAAATTCCTGTCCCTCGTTTTATGAACTGTTTTTCTAGCACTCCCTTTGTTTGAGGAACCTGTTTCAAAATCATCCCAATAAACTTCTCAAATTATCAAAACTTCACCAATAGAATTTTCAGTAGTTTTTATGGCCAGCTTGACACAAGCTGTAGTCCCCTAGGGGGAAGTTACCTAATTTGAGGAATTTCCTAGATTTGGGCACTTTCTTGCTTGCTGATTTATGGCCGGAGGGCCCAGCTGCTGCAGTGATGCTGTCCCCAGGCAGAAGGTCGGGGGCTGCATTAGAAAGTTAGAGGAGAAAGCAGAGAATACTCAAAAGCTGATTCCTTCCATGATTCCTGGCTATGGCCCTTCTTGACTTTCTGTCCTGAACTTCCTCAGTGATGAACTTTGACTTGAGGTTAGATAGTAAAAAAGTGAGACAAAGATCGACATTAAAAGTTGGCAATTCCTTACTACACTGATTTAAGTTTTTCAATATTTACTTTTAAAATGAAACATGTATGAAATGTATTAGGTTCTGATCACTGACATATTTTCACAGTTTGCAATGCCCAAATAATGACCATCTCACCATTCCAGGATAGACACTACACCATGAAACAACAATTCCAGAACAGGGCCTTCGGCAGGTGCCACACGCACTCCCTCGGTGCTCCTCAAACCAAGAAGGATGCTGCAGAGCTTCCGGTGAGTCCCCACACCGGGTGAGAATGAGTACCACATTCTCACCAACACTGCTGACGTTCGCTGCTTTCCTGTACTGTCAGTCTACGGGGAGGAAACGGGAATCACACCTGGAGGAAAGTGGAGCAGAGCGAACAGCAAAAGGAAAATTATATGACAACACTGGTAAATTATAAATGAAGTCGGCTGTGATATTTTAGCAGATGCATATTTGTCCTCGGAAAGGACTCTTTCACAGTGCCTACCCCTAAGGTTGTAGGAGAGTTTGAACTAGCAGTGACATTCATGGTAAAATACACACTGGTGCAGGTTTACGCAGTGCCACACACTGACATTTATCATATGTTACTAACGGGGCCTGTGTTAGCAGCGCTTTGTTTCCTGACCAGTTCACTGGCTCTTCTCAGCTTCCGAGCACCTCTTGGTTCTACCTCTGTGTGTGTTCCTGAGTGCCAATTCCAGATCATTCTGCCTTCACGGCTGCCACAACTGAAATCCACCTGAAGAAAGTGTCTAACCCATAGCGCTTATGATCATCATGCCCTGTGTGTGATAACCAGTCTACGTAACACGCCAGCTCTACTACATAATTGACAGCATCTCTCACATCTGATGTCTTGCCATAATTAAGATGATTTACATCAATCAATATCGCATACCCTTACACCTGCCACACCGACAATCAGTCTTCCATGTTTTGCTTAATAGCTATGCACTCTGTGGGTCTACAGGTATCATTTAAATAACTGTGATATAAATGAAAGAGAGAAGTGGAGCTGGGGGAAGAAATGGCGCTTTGAGACTTGCTACTGTGCTAAAAATTCCATAAATCCTCTACTGACATTTCTGAATTCCGTCTTCCCCAAATTCTCTAACACAAGGTCATTAGCTACATTTTACATTTCCACAGCTTCTATCATCTACAAAAAATGTTATAAATACACAAGTACATTGGAAAGGGGAATTATTTCAGCCTCTTTGGACAAAAACTGCCTCTATGTGAACCTGCTGTATTTTAGTATTTTAATGTGGTTGTTTAATTCTGGTTGCTTAGACGAAATTCCTAATGAAATTGATGCCCGCAATACTGAATGCCTGGAAGAAACCTCTGTACCATCTGGTGACTGAACTGTCTGGGAGGCACGGAGCCCCTTCTCAGATTGTCAATATGGTCAGATACATTGAGGAAAAATGTGTAAGACTTCAAGGGGTTGTTGGCCGCATAAAAATCAAGGTGAGCCTTCCGCCTTCTTCTCTCCCCTTCTCAAGCACTAATGAGGTGCACTGTGCAATAGGATTTGAGCTCTGAAATATTTTCTTTGTAAGAAAGAAGTTTAGGCATCCAAACATGTCAAATCCTCACTATTAAGGGGATACGGTGGACTCCAAACTTCTCAAAGTGCTCTGAACCTCACATGGGCATCTTGGTAGGTAACCACTGTTCTCAAAGTAACCCAGGCAGGACCTTTCCTGTGCAGAGTGACAGATGTCTAACTACCTCAGCAGATCTGAGCACAGTCATCTCTTAACTCTATATATATCTTAACCATCAAGTGCTACCCTCACCCGGGCTAAGGGTTGGGGTGCAGAACTGATTGGCTATAGAATACGGGGGTGGGGGATAATGGTGTGATGTCACAATTCATAATATGCAAAGAACAAGTCAGAGACTAGACTAACGGCATGTAAAGTTCCCTCAGTAATAAAAATGGAACCAGTTCCTTCGGGTTCCCATCGGTCAACTCCTGTGAGGAGGTACTTTGGGATTTCATGTAAGCAGGAAACCTATTCATTTGGGGTACCCTGACGCATGTACAAGAAACTCTGTATGTGTTTTACAATCCTCACATTTCACAATAGTTTGACATATCTACATTCAATATTTGGAAGGGAAATGCACCCAAAAATGCTAGAAAAGAATTATGCTTATCGGCTCTTCTTTTGGTGATTAGCTACGGCTTCATTACGAAGAAAAAAAATACCCAGAATGGTCCGGCCTGGCAGCCTTGCAGTCAGCTGATACAAAGGATGCACGCTTCGCCTTTTATAACTTACTGCATTGCCTGCGTTCAGATATGCAAAAGGTTCATAATTATCTCCACGTAGTGAAGTGTGAAGCGGCCCCCGACCAGTCCTGCAAATCTCACGGAAGACACTCCATCTGAAACTCCCGTGATGCACTGCTCCCATCAGAGTGCCTTTAAATGCTTCCCTTCTGAATGCATATTTGGTGGAATGCAGGCCTTCCTTAAAAAATAAAAGCATTTTTTTACAATTGCCATAGTGCCTCTGTATATTCAACAATCTCTTCTTCGTTCGTCCAGTCTGACACGTTCCTTAACTGGGCGTCATGATGTTATAACTTCTCTTGCAAATACTTCTGCATTTATATCCTGTCACTTATTAGTTCCGTGTATGTTAGGATTGCTATTTTGTTGGTTGTGACAAAATATCTTCTTTTTATTATTTTATTTTATGTGTATGAGTGTATTGCCTGCATGTATGCAAGTGCATTCATGTCATGCAAAGTCCATGGAGGTCAGAAGAGTTTGGATTCCCCTGGAACTGGAATTATGGACAGTTGTTAGCTGCCTTGTGGTTGCTGGGAATTGAACCTGGACCCTCTGAAAGGGCCGTCAGTGCTCTTAATTGCTGAGCCAACTCTCCAGTCCCATGACAAAATAAGTCTTAAACCAGGTTCATAATGTAAAAATATTAACACGTGAATTAATTAAAATGGAAAACTATTTAACATTTCTACATTAACATTTAATAATTTATATTTGGTAATACTTATTGTTTAATCTATTCATTGTTTAAAAACATTTTTGGTGAAGTTTTTGAGAGTTTGAACAGATCATTTGGATGATTTAAAAAATATATTGTATGAAATTCTTAAAACGTCACTAAAAGAAATAAAAGAAGTCAGGTGAGCAAGCCAGAGGGAGCAAGCCAGGAAGCAGCGTTTCTCTGTGGTCCATGCTTGAGTTCTGGACTCCAGATTCCTGCCTTAGCTTCTCTTGAGGATTAACTACAACTTATAAACCCTTCCTCCTCAGAATAATCACAAAATAAAAAACACAAAATGGCGCAGCAGGAATCATAAATGATAGAGCAGTAGTTTGTAAAAACAGGAATACACACACATGCACACATAGATATATATTATAGTTGAGCTATACTCTGGTGTCTACAGAAGTCAACACTGTGGCCTCATTGACTGATCCAGACCAGGCAACACAGAGCCTCCAAAGTGGTTTTGTCATCCATGTTCGCACCAGACCTCATTGTTATTATAAACACATCTTGAAATCATTTAAAAACTGATCCATTGCCTTTGGGGATTTCTGAAGAGTTATGACTGAGGTTTCACCTCCTGACCTGGTTTCGCCCACTTCAGCTGGACCCAACCTCTGCAATGCAGGTCTCGTTTGTTACATATCTGCAGTGTCCCAGGAGAACAATGCCAAATAAATGAAGAAAACGAGAATCAAGCCTCTTTTCAACAATGCGTTTTAAGCCTTAATATCACAAGACTGAATTAAAATCAAAGTTCAAAAAGTAGAGAAAAGTGTAAAATCGTTATATCATCACTCTATTTGACATTTCATGAATCTTACTCTCTTGTTGAACATTTTACCAGCTGATTATTCTTTAAACGTCTCACTATTTGAAATTTGGATCGCAAGACTCCATTAAGTTATAGTGTAATCCAACGCTGGCAGACAGGTCCATTTTGGAAAGAAGCCAGAAGTCAGTGGGTACTTACAAATATAGAAAATAACCCTGCAGCTTGGTTACTGATTTACCGACACACGCTGACCACCAGCTCAATAAGGAGCAGCCATCGCTCATGGCAAACTTGGGCTAAGAACCTGTATTTCTAACAGAATTGTCACAGTTGCAGGCTGGGCTTCAGCAGAAAGGCAGTGTCCCTACTAAAGACGAGGCACACTGAGGTGCAGTCATCTGAGGCTACCCAGCGCCTACAGTGGCCTTCTTTGCACAATTTGTATTTTTAGTTTTATGGAATAATGAACATCTTCCACTGAGAAAGTTCGCGTAAGGAATCATATTTGTACAGATTTAGATTTTGAAATGTGAGTGGCTCTCTGCATTTGTAATACTCCCTCCGGTGCGTCTGCATTCTCTAAACATTTGGAGCTTGACTTAAGTTGAAACAGAATGTACAATCCATTCACCTCAGATGGTTTAACCTCTTTCAGGTTTCTTCAGATCTTTAGTAATAAGACAATCATGAATTTGTAATTTTAGCTCACTGTCTACTATGAGTATTTTTAACACCAATGTGATGAGGACTTTGCTTTTATCTTCGCGTCTGATGAGAATAAACATGGGATTGGTTGTTTACTAGTACTGAGGATGATGAGGATGGTGTTGTAGAAATGGTACCATAACCTAGAATTGCCTACTCAGCACCATAATGTTCCACATTTCTTCCTCTGTCAAGAGATTCAGACTCTTTCTCTGAATTTAGTATCTATAGTAATTCTGTGAATGGACTTTCCCGTCATGATTACAATGAAACTATAGTGATAAAATAGGTAGAAAAAATAACATAGATGATTTTCATAGTCTCGTTTGCAGTTTAATGGGGCAGCATGCAGACACTGGGACCTTGCACCTCATCTGAGGCTCTGTGTTGCCAAACATCACTGCCATTATGTGTAAACAGCATCACCTTGTCCTTGATGACACGATAGCACAGAATCTAGGACGCTGATTGTGTCTGCTTTCCCTGCTACGGATAAGAAACAACTTTAAACATTTGACTATGATCAGTGTTGGTTTCATCAATTTTATTTTCGTTACAAGAACAAACTCTGATCTATAACAAATCAGTGACTCGCATTATCAAACGGTGCACCAGTATGTATTTATCAAATTGAACAGGTTATATAACTTCAGTAACACGAATCTTAGCAAAATTCTGTTACAAAATGTGAGTCTCAAGAATGCTAGTTCTGGAGGTTGGAGAGAAGGCTCAGCTGTTAAGAACACTGGCTGCTCTTGCAGAGGACCCAGGTTCCGTTTCCAGTACCCACTTGGCAGCTAACAACTGTCCCTAACTCTAGTTCCAGGGGATCTGACACACTCTTCTGGCCTCCACAGTTACTGTATCAGTTTAGAGATGCATTACTTCTATGGGTAGAACTGAGTCATTAGAACTCAGTTTAATACAATAAGTATTCAGTAGAAAACTATTAGGCTTTCCCCTTCGGGCTGTGAACTGTCTAGCCTCAGGTTCCTGTTCTGATACCAGTGTCAGGTATGGGCTCCATCCCATGAAGTGGACCTTAAATCCAATCAGAGAATGATTGGTCACTCCCTTAATATTTGTTACGCTGTTATATCTGTGGGCATATCACGCCAGGCCAGGTGTTATTGTAGTTAACAGGATCAAGAGCTGTGTGCTTTTGATTTTTTTTTTCCTTCTGGTAATGCGCACAGCAGCTCCACAATGTGAGTGTTTAGGCCTGTAAACTTCCCTCCTAGGACTTCTTTCATTGTTCCCACTGATCGTGATGTGCTGAGTTTTCTCTTAGTTTTCTTTTCGTTCTAAGATCCTTTAACTCCGTGATTTCTTCAGTGCCTCATCATTCAACAGTTTGTTGTTTAACGTTCGTGAACTTTCTGTAGTTTCTATTGCTGTTGATTTCTAGCTTTATTCCATTTCAATTTTGCTCTATTTGTTGAGATCTATTTTATATCCAAATATATGATCAATTTTGGAGAAAGTCCAACAGCTGCTGAGAAGAATGTATGCTTTTTGAGTGTTCTGATGCAATGTTCCATGTATAACTGTTAGGCAAATGTGATTTATGATGTCACTGAACTCTGCTGTTTCTTTTGTCCAGACGACCTGTCTGTTGGGAGAGTGGGGTATTGCAGTCACTCACTGTCAGTATATTCGGATTGATCTGTGGCTTTGCATCTAGCACTCTTTCCTGTGTGTGTGTGTCTAAAATCACCATGTCCTTTCCATGGATTATTCCCAGTGCATTTATCGCTCCTGTTTTTGCTTGAGGTCGCTTTGTCAGATGCTACAAAAACTATACCTGCCTGTTTCTAAGTCCTATCATCTTGGAACATCTTTTGCCACCTCATAACCCGAATGTTGTGTCTATATTTAATGGTGACGTGCTTTTCTTGGAGGCAGCAAAAAGATGGATCCTGTTTTCTAAGCCAGTCATTGTACTGGGGTAACTGAGATGAGCGCTCTTATTCCTGCTCCTTCTTTAGTGTTTTCTTAGATCTCTGTTCATTAAGTGTCCTGGTGTTGTTTCGTCCTGAGGCATCTCACTGCGTTCTTCCTTTTATTCAGAATGAAGCATTTTTTCCCAATATTCTCTCTAGAGTTGTCTCTAATCTGTTTTATTCCTGGAAAGTTTTTGCTTTTTCTTCAATTTTAACAGTTTTTCTGTGTATAATACTCTTGGTTGGTATTTGTGGTCTTCATGAGCTCAGAATACATCTTTCCAGACTTTCAGATTTAAATTTTTCTGTCAAATAACCAGGTGTTTTTCTAATGGGCTCAACTTTATAAGTAGCTTGACTCTTCCCTCTTTGCAGTTTTTAATATCCTTTTTTCTTTGGCTGTGTTTTTTAAAATTTTTATGTGTACGAGTGTATTGCCTGCATGTGTGTAAGTGCACCCATGTCATGTAATGCCCAAGGATTTCAGAAGATGATGTCAGATTCCCCTGGAACTGGATTTACAGATGGTTGTCAGCAGCCATATGGGTACTGGGAATTGAACCCAGGTCCTCTGTAAGAACAGTCAGTGCTCTTAGCCACTGAGCCATCTCTCAAGCCTCTGTGTTTTTAATGTTTTAAATATAGTATGTCATAGGAAGTTTCTTTTCTCCCATGTATTCGGTGTTCTTCAGGCATCTTGTAGGCTGGGTAGCTCTTTCTCTAGATTTGGGGATTACTGGTCTATGATTTTATTGAAAATATTTTCTGTGCCTTTAGCCCAGTGCTCTCTCTCTCTTCCACATACACACTACATAAATAATTCGAAATTTGTCTTCTGTTAGTGTCCCAGAGCTCTCAAAGGTCCCATTCCAATTGCAAAAAAATTTTTCATTGGTCTTTAACTGAATTCCCCAAATTCTCTGTTCTACCTCCCTTCCCGATACCCTTTCCCACATGATCCCTCCTGTTAGAGATGTTTTCCATTGACCTCTTAATTTGGCTTAGCGAGTCTTCATTTCTAGCATCCTCTCAATTTCGTTTTCTTTGGCAGTTCTCTGTG